TTCTTCTTCGCTTTGTACACCCACTTCACATCAATTGCCTTATGCCCTTTAGGAAGTGAAGCTAGCTCCCATGTGTCGTTCTTCTTGATTGCCTTGATTTCTTCCTCCATTCCATCTTTCCACTTCTTGCTTTGTATGACTTCATGGGTTTACAGTCGGCAAAGAGACAAAAAAGAGTAAGATTATCTTGATTCATAGTTACCTCATAAAGATCTTCTAATCTTCTGAAGCGTGGTACTTTTTCACTTGAATTTTCTCTTGAAGTTGATGACGATGAGTTGCTTTGATTACTTGTTGTTTGTGGAGTAGTAGACTCTTCTCTTGCTTGCTCGATCATTGGCTGCTCTACGTCTTTTTCTTGAAAGTATGGGAAAAAGTTGTAGTCCTCAGCATGTAGTCCCCAATCCCATTCTCCTCTTTCATCGAATATGACATCCCTGCTGATGGTTGTTTTTTCTATATTTGGATTGTATAACTTGTAGCCTTTCGAGTTGTTGTCGTAACCAATGAAAATGAACTTCTCGCTCTTGTCATCCAGCTTACTTCTTTTCTCGTCGGGTATGTGTACATGAGTTATGCATCCAAAAACTCGTAGATGAGAGATGTCGGACTTCCTTCCACTACATGCTTCTTGTTGGTGATCGGTTAGCCAAATAAACAACACATGCAACCGCTTCTGCCCAAAACTCCTTCGGCAGTCTCTTGCTTTTTAACATGCTCCTTGTCATGTTAAGGATGGTTCTATTCTTCCTTTCTGCTACTTCATTTTGTTGGGGGACCTTGGAACAGTTAGAAGTCGACGTATTGCGTTGGCTTCACAAAATTCTTGAAATTCTTTTGAAGTGAATTCTCCTCCTCGATCAGATCGCATAGCTTTGATCTTAAGACCACTTTCTTTCTCGACATCTGCCTTAAACTTCTTGAATATTCCAAAAACCTCTGATTTTTGTTTTAAGAAATACACCATATTTTTCGTGAAAAATTATCTATGAAGAGAAGAAAATAGTTGCTCTTATCGAGTGAGTTTGGCTTCATTTGAACCACAAACATAGTATGTATGAGCTCAAGAGGGCTTTTGGGCTCTTGAACTTGACTCCCTTGGAAAGCTTTTTCTAAAGTGCTTTCCGAGTAAACATCCACATAATTGATCAGGGTGGTTGATGCAAGGTAGTCCTCTCACCATCTCTTTCTTTGAAAGAAAATTGAAGGTGTCAGAACTAAGAAGCATCTTTATAACAGGTCTTCAGATATTTGGCAATATCGTTTTGAATGTTGAGTGAGAACATTCTATTTTTA